TTGTCTGTCTCTATGTGTCAGCCCTGTGATAGTCTGGTGACCTGTCCAGGGTGTACGCCTCTCACCCAATGTCAGCTGGGATAGGCTGCAGCCCCCCGTGACCCCTATCAGGATAAGTGATTATGGAAAATAAATGAATGCATATAAATGTGATTTCAAGGAGAGAGGGCTGGCTAAGCATGTAAACAAACAACAGTGCCCAACAGGGAAATGCAACACTGTGAATGGCCCGATCCAGAGCCAGTGTTTGGTTTGTCCGTTTTGGGCTACTGTAGAAACATCATGGTGGACTCCTTAGAGGAGGACCTGCTACATATGTAGATATAAATGGCTCATTCTAAGGTAACCAAAACATAGTTATGAATATTGTATACCAATTTCTTCAAATATGTCCCCCTGAATCTGACACACTGGACCTTTAAAAATGGACCTCAGAGATTTATTGATTATGGAAATTATTGTAATTTCCAGTCGAAAGAATAATTGATTGAAATGGTAACCATTTCAGCTCTAGAATGCAGAATGAATTTTTAATGATGGGGACATAAATATAGCCATCTTTTGCACCCACAGCTCTGGACATGCCTCTTTATTGTCCCCCTGCTACACTGCACTCTGGTCTCAGTCCCACTGCAGCAGGACTACAGATTGGTCTCTGTTTCCTCCTCTCTGATGGATCCGTCCCGGTGGGATTGTTACATCATTGGTGCAAAATGGCAGCTTTAGAAAGACACACTGAACCCAAACACACACGTTTAATCATCATCGTCTTAGATGACAGAGACATTTTCTGATGTCAGATTTGAGCATTGCTGGATATATTTAGCAGTAACTCGTTATCCAGAGGAAGAACAATGCACCAAACTAAAGGAGAGACACGCAGAGCATCTCCAATCATAATGTTTTCTTTCCTACAGATTATGCATATTTTGGGAGATTTCTCTCAGGAACAGGAGTGACTTTCTGAGGGATTTAAAATATCATCAACATTTCCAGTATCATACTTTATGTGTCTTCTAATTTCAGTTTGCACCAGAGTTAATTTTAGATTTTCTGACCCATCCCCGCTGAGTATGTTCACTCTTATCTGGGTGAGTGGAGTCTTTCTGAGCTCTGAGGCTCATTAACACAGCATTGCACTCAAGGGAATCCACTGGAACCAGCAGCCCATATTGATCCCAAACCCAGAACAACTGAAATATAAATGAAGGATTTTCACCGAGGACTCCTTTGTGAGCCCACGGCCCACCATTATCTAACAGTGGCTGCGCTGTTTCTTTTCATTACTGTCAATATTGTGGCTGCAACGCTACAGAAATGTTGTTTTAACTTGCTTATTAAGGAAAATTGGATGGATTTTTGTGAGCAAATCAAACAAGATTACCAGAATTACATTTCTGATCAACTGATCGATTAACTGACTAACTGTTTTAGCTCTCTATGTCACAAAAGTAGGACAAACACAGCAGCCAAGGCTATTTTATGATGATCACACAGGCTGAACCTGCATTCCCCATTGAGCAAATTTGCTTTTTTTCTCCTCGTTTACAGGAACATTATACATAATTAAACAATTTTCACTGGAAAAAATCCCCAACATAATTACATCACAGAGAGAGTGATAGAGCGAGGGAGAGATTTTAATTTTCTATTTAGATGCTTTGGCAACATGGCTCATCTAACATTTATGCCAATAAAGAGGATTATTGGAACGAAGAAAAGAGACACAAAGACAGAAAGAGACACACATTATATATTTATGTAAACAGCATGAGAGAGGCAGTTATACAATGAGGAAACACAGAAATAGGTGACGCAAAACACAAATCTTTTAACCCTTAATTAGCTGCCTTAAAGTTGCATATGTGTGATGTAATATATATCACGATGTTCAGGAGACTTGGTTGAAAATGAATACAATCATACAGCATGTAGGTCATATAAACATTGCAGGGTTTTTTTTAATTCACTGGTCATACTTTTTTTGCCATGAGCAGATTTGAGTACATTGTCTAACTCTTTACTTTATCTTCTATTTTGGCAGCACACGTTTGTTGATCTACCAGCAGTGATGAACCAAGTAGCTGATAAGTCGATTAAGTGTTTGATGAAAAATTAGTGACACTTTTTATAGCACTGTGAGCCAAATTTCGGTCGCAGTCTCATTTTTTGGTCACTACTCAGAGCTCGAAAAATCAAAGTTGAAAGCCATGCCTTTTTCCCCTTTTCACCACAACTATTGGGTACAACCCCTCCATTTTGACTCCAGTTTAAACAATTGGCGCAGTTACTCAATCCCAACCCAGAGGGAGCAGTCCACCATTTCCCAGACTTGGAGGTGCTGACTCTGATCCCAGTCGCTTCACACTCGGCTGCAAACCGACCCAGTGCATGCTGGAGGTTGCAGTCTGATGAAGTTAACAGAACCACATTATCTGCAAAGAGCAGAGAAGCAAATTTGCTGTGTCCAACTCGGACTCCTGCACCTTTACATCCTATCCATGAAAATCATAAATAGAACCAGTGACGAGGAGTAACCATGGTGGAGCCCATCACCTTTTGAAAATGTGCCTGAGTTTGACTGACACAGCTCTCGCTCTGGTTATACAAGGACAAAATGGCCCCAAACAATGACCCTGGTACCCCACACAAGCCTGCAAGGTTATCATCATGGAAGGATTAATGAACAGGCTTGCTGGACCCAGGCCCAGGGGCCCAAAGTATAAGGGTGACCTCTTGGCCTTCACTTGCAAAATGTCACTCAACACTTACTGATCAGAAAGACATTCAAAATGACCACAAGAAGCTGCAAAGGAACTGAAAAGAAACACAACATAACTACAAAAAGGGGGCAAAACAACCACAAAGAGACACAAACAAGACAAAAAATTACATAATAAAAGAGAGATAAAACCACAAAAAGATGCTTCATGACTACAAAAATATGCAAAATGGCATAAAAGAAGGCTAAATAACAATAAAGTCTGTGTGAGTCTCACTCCTGGTGGACGGTCTTTAGCATATCTATGCCCAAGGGCCCAATGTCTCATAATCTGTCTGTATATCATATTATTATACGCCTACTGAAGGTCAAGCAGACCAAAACGGTGTATATATCAGCAGTAAGTGAGACAATGAGAAGGGTTTTTAATTTTAATTCAAGCTGTGTTTTACCCCGTTGTGTATGTACTGATAAAGCACATAAAAAGTGGAATAACAGGTGGTTCAAGACACCAAATCTTGGACATTGGCCCTGAATACAAAGAAGACTTTTATTATTCTAGTCTGTCTTTTGCAAATATGGTCCATTTAACTAAATACATTTAAGGTTGATCAAGTCACCACATTAATTACTAACTAACTACATACCCAAAGCACAGAGAGTGGGGTTAAATAGAGTGCCCAAGAAAAGAGTCGTAAAACGAGTTAGCATTTTAACACTCACGGTCTTGTCTTGATGTCAATGGATTTTTGTAATGGATTTTTGGTTAGATGCCTGAAAAAAGATCTGTGGTTCACACAAGCTTAAGAGACTTTCACGTTTTGTTCTATGACATAAAATACGTCAGCAAATACCCCACTCGTCTTGGTACGATTTTACAGTCTTGTTATGGTGGTGACGTTAGGTCACGTAAGTATGTATCAAGCATATAAGTACCACAAGTACATGTAAGTAGCATTGTCATCTCACAGCAAGAGGTTTCCTGGTTCGAACCCAGGGTGGAGGAGCCCCTCTGTGCAGAGCCCGCATGCTCTCCCCGTGGGTTTCCTCGGGGTACTCCAGCTTCCTCCCACAGTCCAAAGACATGCAGGTTAATTGGTGACTCTAAATTGCGCGTAGGAGTGAATGGTTGTCTGTCTCTATGTCTTATGTTGGAATAGGCGTCCTCCAAATTCTGCGAAAGAAGGCTGCGTTTCTCTGCCACATTTGAAGGAGCCTTCGAAATGGGACAGCCTTGGTTGCACAAGTGTGACGCAATTGGTCTTTCAATGCAGCCTTGGGATAGCCTGGAAATCCAGACCAAAATAGAAAGATTTAGGGTCTGGCCATGAGTAATGAAAATGGCCCAACTCGAGGGGCGGCACCAAGCATGCATTTGTAAATATCACTGCACGCAATTGGATAACACTACGACCAATCAGAACAATACACAGAGTGACATATACACTTAGCTAACAGAGGAGCTAACTAGTAGATTAGACTCTTGCCGTATCCGGTCAGCAAAACAGCAAAAACGTCCTTCTCGCAAAGGAAAGACTCGAGCGCCGTCTTCTGTTCCTCTTTTAGAGAAAAAGCCAAGTCTAACTCGTTCATTGTTGTGGCCCAAGCCGTTTCAAACAACTGGTGTTCATCCGTAGCCATCTTGCAATGTTTACTGACTGATTCCAGACTTCGTTGTCGCAGCGCTGTCGTCATCTGTTTAGCTAGCCTCTGGCCCGCCTATATCAGATACACCGATGTGATTGGTGCAGCTCGGCTCCAGGAGCATAGATAATGAGCATCTTCACTGATTGCCAGAGTGACTCGCTGAGCAAATTCAAATTGTGCTCCAGCGAGAACTCTGGATTTCCAGGCTGCAGCACCTGAATTGAGACACAGCTAGTATCCCTGGGGCAGTGGGGCCCCCTAGTGGTTTACTCTGGTTCTGCTTTTAGCAAAAACTTGACATGAATTATGTCTCTGTGAACTTGTGGAGGCCCTTTGGGAATTTTTTGATAAAGATACTGCTATTTCTATAATGAAGTAATAAAATGGCTTTACATATATTGCCACTTTTTATACCATTTTCACCCTTTTAAATGATTATACTATTACAACTACTACCAGCAGTGAAATTACTTTATATATAATCCCACATTATATGAATATGACATTAAAGACAGACAGATGTAGATGAGGAGGGAGAGATAGAGGCTGAATGAAGAGGCAGAGCCACATAGACACAGAGCGAGGGGAGTGGAGGAGAGAGAGAGTCGCCATTACTGCCTGGCAGTGCTGCTGAGAGGGGAGGGAGCACAGAGGAGCAGGTTTCGGCTTACAGCGCATACCACACTAACAACACCGAAATACACTAAAAATACAGGCTAACTGGCCGTTTGGAAGTATACAGGACTACACCGTCAACTGAAGCCAACTTGGGATCTTGTCGGAGGACACTACCGGCCGCAGATTGTGGATTGTAACCAGGAGTTTTTTGCCTTGTAATGTGGGAATGCTTTCTCCTCTTTTCCGTGGTATGTGGATCTGGGAGCGACCATGTTATTAGGTGGGTAGGGGAATGTATTTGGACTGGGATTGGGGACTTCATTAGCTTTGCTAGCACTCTTTTCTGGGGGCGAAACCTGGCCTTAAAACTGCAGTGTTTCGGATTTAAAGAAACGGGGCTGGTAATACGAGTGTGGGCTGTTGAATCAAACACAGGGTGTGATTTTAAACCGCTTTACTCCCAACGTTAGCCTTGGTTTGCTGTTGCTAACGCTAGCTAGCTAACTATCCCTCACCCCCTTTTGGCATGCGAGGCTAACACAGCTCGGCTAATGTTAGCTAATCGGGATTGGAAAGGTGGGTTTTTTTCCTCCTGTAGTATCAGGGCCAAGCCGAGCCAGGCCGAGCCGGGTTTCATGTCCTGTTCCCTGGAGGAATTAATAACCGCCGTATCAAATCCGGTGGTTGCGAATGTTAGCTACGGTGCATTGACGCATTAACATAAACGTCTGTTGGTTTTAATTTAAGCTTAACTAACTCATTAACCGTGACGGTAACTCCCATTACTCACTCTCATTACCCGGGTGAGCCCATTTAGAAGCAGAGTTTGGTGTTTTACATGATATTCAGCCTTTTAAATTGGTTTAATTTCAACGTAACAAACGGGCTCAAACGGAAAATTACTTTGGAAATAAAAGGAAAATTCACATCTCATCTCAGCTGCACTGACACCCGAGTTTAGAGCCTCCACACTGTGCCAGCTTTTATCTCCCATCCCAGTTTCTTTTCAACCTATTGCGACTTCATGTAGAAGTTTCTGGTTTGCTAGTTTCCAACGTTAATGTGCTGCTAATCGCTAACATTAGCATCGGGGATGGGTGGATGGAGGGTCAGATCGAGTGCCACTGGTTCCTATCATTGAATTTTCCGACATTAATCAGGGTGTCTCTGAATGTCTCAGCTCTGATGAGAAGTTGTGACCACACTTTGTCATTAGCAGCTTTAATAACTCCTTTTATTCAGTGTGCAGCAGCAGCTCAGTGTGGGTTTGTCATGCTGCAGCTCTGCATGCCATTTGCATCGCCTCGGACTGCTGCAGCGCCCTCTGCCCTTTACCCAAACTCTCATTAAAGGGATGGTCCGGCTTTTTATCTAATGAGGCATCCTGGTGGTGTTTCTCCAGCCCTTTGCAGTGTACTCATCATTTCTCATTTGCAGCAGTTGTTATAATGGGACCCAGTTCATATAGCTTCTTGTTTGACTCCACTATCATCTTGTTTTAGCATCTCCAAGGTCTCTATGAATGATTTGGTTGGACTCTGTGTTTATCATTATCATCACAGTCAGTCTGTTTAGCGGTTTTTGTGTGTGGAGGAAAGCTGTTAATAATATTGAGCTGGATAGTACCATCAGCTGTCATGCTGGGAATTTTATGAAGGTAGCAAATGTTGTTTGGGAACATTATTTTAATGCATCATTGTGGCTGCTGTTGTCCATAGGCATCACATTTCCCATCCAGATAATGTGAAAGAGAATATTTTGCATTTAGTTTATTGTTCTCATGACTACGATTGGGCAATGTGGAGAAAATCATTTATATAATTAGATGTTTGATAAATGTTCATCAGTAATGTGTAGGGTTCAGTGTTTGTTTTCACTTGCCTTGTCGGCCGGTTGGGCAAATGGGTCAAAAATCTACTTGCCCCATTACACATTGTTGTATTTATTTTCACTCATTCATTCTCTGTAACTGCTTATCCTGTTAGGGGTCGCAGGGGAACTGGAGCCTATCCCAGCTGACACTGGGCGAGAGGCGGGGTACACCCTTGACCGGTCTATCGCAGGGCTAAAATAAAAACAAAGACTTAAAGTTAATTGTCATGTTGCATCTTTAAGTAAATGAAAAATGATCCTGTTTATCTGCATTGCTCTCAAACTTGTGACAAACTTGCGCAATACATAGTTGGTGTGCCTGATCGTGTATGTGACTTGCTAGATTTACAAGCCCAATATGGCATTGTACTTGTGCGAGTAATCCTCATATCCTTATTGCTGAGCCCTGATGTTAAGATAATGACTGAGTGGGTGAAGATACTTTCAGTATCATGATATCCAAATCCAAGACAAAATCTAGTCTCATATCACGATACTGATATATGGTGATACTGCCCAGCTCTACTCTTGACCAGCTGATTTGCCTTGTTGCAGACAGGCAGGTCTGAAAAGCTTTTTACCCGCATCTGCTTTAAGCCCAGGATGAAAATGCATATTGGTATTGGCATATGCTAATATGGTGGGAAATATTCAATATTGGTATCAGCTTAAACAAACCACACAAGGGCATTTGTACCAACAACCTCCTCTCTGAGTGATGCTGGGGTTGATCGTGTCAGTTGGCCTATAAACTGTTGTTCTTACATCATCGACACCTCGGGAAGGGGAAGTCAGATGAGTGATACCCGACTGCAGGTCTGGACCTGACGCTGGAGCTTTGTGCTTTAAAGCGTCTAAGGTTCTTTTAAAAGGAAATACATTTCCGAGAAGCACCAGCCCGGTGCTTTTCACATAGTTTTAAATTGAAGTCATGATGTAATCAAAGCTTTGTTATAACTGGCAGCAACAAAGATGTTTTGTGGAGGAATTGCACAGTGAATCCAAAATGAAGAGCAGTGAGAAAATGAAGAAAATGTCACCGCTATGTCTCATCACGGCAAAATTATTCACATTCCCCTGATAATAAGATGGTCTAACTTCTTATTACATGCTTGAAGCAGACTGACTATTTCATTTCATTTCAGAAAGTTTTTGTAGTTTCTGGTTATGTTTTGTTTCTTGGAATCACCACTGTAGTTCCTCTGATGATTAGGTAGCTGACATTTAAAACCGCATTACACAACTTTGTGTGCCAGCAGCTGAAAAATGGCAGTGACAGGTAATAGTGAGCACCCAGAAATCCTGTGAGGTGGGGTCAGCCCTGGCTAGTCTGTCATAATTCATACTAAGAGGAGAGGAGGGGAGAGGTTGTAATGTTGGAGTCCATTTTTCTCTGGCCGCAGAGCCCACTCTTTGCTTAATAGGAGGCAGTTTGGATTTTTGTGCTAAGTTTTGATTCATCTCTTCCTGTGGGAGGAGAGTTGTCTGTACACGAGATCAGACATTCTTTTGGGGGAAACATAATAAGTCAGTGGTGCCTCATTTAAAGTCGATGGGACCCTCTTCTCTGTTGGAGCCCTGCTTTGTGACTGTGGCTAATAAAATAAGTTTATTTTACCTTAGAAAATACAACCGGGTGTAGCTTTAAAAGGTCTTCCATCCTTGGCAGTATGTTCTGCTGTTTTAGACTTAACAGCATTTAGTCATCTCTAAAACCAGCTTGCCAAGTGATTCCTTAATCCCCCCTGCAGCCTCATCGTGAATAGACTAATCATGATGCACAGGGCTACTTTTAGCTATTAGTGCAGCACAAACGCACTTTCATCTGTAATGTTTTGCAGTAATAAGACCGTCACAGGCTCCATCCAGGTGTCTGCAGCACACAGCTAACTGAATAGCACTGCTGCCACTCCTCTCTTCATACATGTTAACATTTATCCATGAGTCTTGTGTTGACAGCAGAGTGAATGTAGACTTTGATATTGGTGGACAAAAATGCAAAGCAGATGTTTGGATTTGGGTGGCTGATCTGCTCAAACACTGTGGTTTGGATGGCAATCAGGGGGAGCAATGTAGGGCTGTAATAATCAGTTGGTTAGTCGATCAACAGGAAATTAATAGATTTCAATTGTTGTAATTGATGGTCTTAGTGTATTGCCAAGTAATGATGCCAAATGTTTTCTAGTTGCAGTATCACCAGTGAGAATAGTGGCTTGTTTTATGCGGTTTAATATCAGAAATGTAATATTCAGGGTTAGTTTGCTGTTGGTTAGACTACAGAAGAAGTCTGTATACATCACTTGGACTTTGCTAATTTGTGAAGGCCCTTTTTCCTGGTCAGGAGTCAGTCAGTAATGGAAATCCCTTGCTTGCAGGCATGAGTGCCACCTCAAAGTGTAAGTGCACGTGTAGTGCTTCACCTGCCGTTCATAAGCTCGGAAACCCTTCTCCCCGGCTGCCTGCTGCAGTCAGGTGTGGCACATGTAGCAGCACAGGAGCTGTTTCAGGGGCTAGTGGTTACATTTGTAAACCTGACAGACTTGCTTGTGCGTGTGCTTTCTGACATCATTTTATGTCCTGGGTGTGTTTGAGGGACAAGGAGCTCCTGGTTGGAGGCGCCCAATTTGACAGATCAGCTGACTTAACATTTATGGCACATTTCCTGCAGGTATTTGTTCCCCTGGTTTACCCTTAGGTTACGCACAACTGTGTAGTCTGACAAATAGGAAAACTGGTTGTGTGACCTCTTTTATATGTTAGATAATTGAATTCAGTGAGTAACATCCATGTATCCTCCTGGTTTGGGACTTCTGATTAAATTTCCCTGCATGTTTCTTCAGGTTGCTGCAGCTCTGCCGAACTCAGAAAAGTCTAATTTCCTTGCACAAAACCCCCACACAGGTGACATCATCACCTTGGCCTCCATAAACAGTCAGGGGAAACCTCATTGCGCTGTCTCACTGGGCTGAATTCCTACTCTGGTGCAGTTTCTCAGGCTCAGCATGCCGCTGTGCTGCAGCTAGTGGTTCCAGCTCACGCAGGCAAATTCACTGGCTGATTGCCATCGTTCTGTAAAACACAACAATGACTGCAATTCTCTCTGCAGTTATCAGTTATCAGACTCTAGTTAGGTCATGGAAGGGTTCAGGCTTATTTGACTGTGGCAATCCCAGATAATAATGATAGAAAGGTTGTGCGGTCCAACAGATGCACTCGCCACATTTTTAGTTTCACAATCTGTTTTTTTTTTTTTTTCTGAAAATCAGTATTGTCAGGAGTGGAACAATTTATTTCACCTTGTTGTTAACATTGAATAGATAAGGTGGACACAGCAAAATAATTTCATCCCACAGATGATCAAGACTACCAATTAGGATTTATAATCATAACCAGAATGTCAGGCAAAATGCATTAAGAGAATGACAGGCAAAATAATCAGGATTATACGTTTAGCCCTAATCATGTAGCTGTAGGTTATGCCGATGATGATAACAAATCTGTGAACTGATTTATTTCTCTGTTTCATTCTCACAGCGAAGCAAATCATTTCTAGGTCAGTGGCTGTCAAAGGGCTGGAGTTGCATGCCATTTTTATCCTGCCTCGGCACAAATTGGTTGAAAGCACTTCTTTTTCTCTGTGAGGGGAAAAGTGACATTGCTGAGCACGGCCCATGATTGAATTATTCTCCCTTTCTCTTATGTAAGATGTGCTGTCACACTTTGGGTTTTTGTCTTCTCAAAAGTCCATTTTGATATTGCAGTTTGTAAAACAAATTTTCCACAGGGTTTTCAAAAATGCAGGAGGCTTTTTCATCACATTTTCATATTATAAAGCTATTATGGTGGTGTGTTAACGCCAGGGCATTTTATTATTAAAACATGAAAGGCCGATCAAAAACCTTTTATTAAGCTTTACCATTTAGGAGGGATTATTTTGTCCTGCACAAGTGTGATAATGTGTACTTTGTCTAATTGACTGATAACTCAGTCTAATGCCAGATTAACATGTTTGATTTGTTGTTTAAAATCACCATACCGCATATACATGTACATGTATGTTCCAGGGGGATATGGTGAGATACAAAAAGCTAATTATATTGTTTGTGATAAGGAGACGGAAGTGCTCTAAGGACAACTCAGTGCCAACATGTTTTTGTTTGTTTTGCCTTTATCTCTCCCTAATTGTAAATTCCATGTCTTGCAGGCAGGTGATAAAAGGAGAAGCCGGCTGTTCTATCCCAGCTTAAAGAAGACCCAGGATAGAAACTGAGAGAGATACATTGAGTTGGACGGGGATTCGCCACTACCAAGGGAAAATCAGGATGACTGTGCCTCTGTACCACTGACAAGCTGAACTGGAATGATATCTTGACCTTTTTTCCTGGAAGTGACCAAGTTAGCGATGAGCGGGGGGATATAATGGCCAAGAACAAGGATGCGCGCCCCCCGACATTCGCCGTCAGTGTGGTTGGCCTCTCGGGGACAGAGAAAGAGAAGGGAAATTGTGGCGTTGGCAAGTCCTGCCTATGCAACAGATATGTTCGTCCTAATGCGGACAGCTACTACTCGGAGCACACCTCAGTGCTGAGCACAATAGACTTTGGGGGACGTGTGGTTAACAATGACCACTTCCTGTACTGGGGGGAGGTGTCCCATCGAGGGGACGATGGGTTGGACTGTAAAATACAAATCATTGAACAAACAGAGTTCATTGATGACCAGACGTTTCTTCCGCATCGGAGTACGAACCTGCAGCCGTATACCAAACGGGCGGCAGCAACCAAGCTCCAGTCTGCAGAGAAGCTTATGTACATCTGTACGGACCAGCTGGGCTTGGAGCAGGACTTTGACCAGAAGCAGATGCCGGATGGAAAGCTGAACATCGACGGCTTTGTGCTCTGTATCGATGTTAGCAAGGGATGCAACAGGAAGTTTGATGACCAAATGAAGTTTGTCAACAGCCTCTACTCCCAAATCGTCAAGTCAAAGAAGCCCATTGTCGTTGCTGCCACAAAATGTGATGAGTGTGTGGACCAGCATCTGAGGGACCTGCAGGCCTTTGTTGCTAGCAAGAAGAACCTGCTGCTAATTGAGACATCAGCACGCTCCAATGTCAACACAGAGGTCTGCTTCAACACACTCATCCAGCAGCTGGATAAAGCAAGGGGGAAGCCAAAAACTGTGCCATACCTTGAGGCCTATAAAGTCCAACGGCAGCATGTTGCTGCAGTAACAGATAGATTTGAGAAATTGATGGTGCACACGGTTAGAGATTACCACACCACGTGGAAAACAGTGATCAATAATATGAAGGGCCAGCCTGACTATGACGAGTTCATCACCTTGGAGGGCTCCAGGAAAGCACGCAACATGTTCACAAAGCACATTGCACAACTGAAGCAAGAGCACATCAAGAGGAGGAGGGAAGAGTACCTGACAACATTACCGAAAACCCTTAATAACCTCCTAAATAACCTGGAGGAAGTTGAACACCTCTCATGGCCTGAGGCGCAGAGTGTGATCCGCAACCGGCCTGATTTCCAGTACTGGTTTGTGGTTCTGGAACAAACCCCATGGGATGAGACGGACCACATCGACATCAGTGACCGCAGGATACCCTTTGACCTCCTCGACACACCTGACGGTGAGAGAATTTACCACAACCACGTCCAGCACTTGTTATCTGAGAAGAGAAGGGTGGAGATGAAAGACAGGTTCAAGAAGACGCTAGAGAGGGTTCATTTTATCAGTGCAGGACAGCCTTGGGAGGAAGTCATGTGCTTTGTCATGGAGGATGAGGCCTACAAGTACATCACAGAATCAGATAGAAGGGATGTTTATTGTAGACACCAGCAGGAAATAGTTGAAAGGGCCAAAGAGGATTTTCAGGAAATGCTTTTTGAGCATGCTGAGCTATTCTATGACCTGGATCTGAATGCCACCCCCAGCTGCGACAAGATGAGCGAAATTCACAGTGTGCTGAATGAGGAGCCCAGATACAGAGCACTGCAGAAACTTGCCCCAGATAGAGAGTCCCTCCTCCTCAAACACATTGGGTTTGTTTACCATCCCACCAAGGAGACATGCCTGAGTGGGCAGAACTGTGTGGATCTGAAAGTGGAACAGGTTTTAGCAAACAGGCTGGTGCAGCTTGACCACGGACGCTCTAATCTCTACTATAACAGTGCCAACATCGATAAGATCAACCTCTGCCTCCTGGGAAGGGAGGGTCTCTCACAGGAACTAGCCAATGAGATCCGAGCTCAGTCCACAGATGATGAGTACACCCTGGATGGTAAAATTTATGAACTGGAGCTGCTTCCGGTGGATGTCAACTCCACACTGCTCTTCAGCCACACGTGGGTCACCACCTTCAAGCCACATGGCTGCTTTTGTGTATTCAACTCCATAGAGTCTCTTAACTGTATTGGAGATTGCATAGGCAGGATCAGAGCGGAGATAGCACAGAGCAGGAGAGATAGGTTTGCTCAGCCACTACCATTCATTCTAATCCTGGCTAATCAGAGGGACAGTGTTTGCAAAAACATACCTATCCTGAGGCACCAGGGCCAACAGCTGGCAAACAAGTTGCAGTGTACCTTTGTCGACATCCCCTCCGGGGCCTTTCCACGTAAATTCACAGAGTTCCAAATTAAGCAAGGTCTCCGAGCAGTGCTGGAGGGGCTAAAGCATAACTTTGATGTCTTGGCCCCACTGCCCTCTATCAAAGACATGTCAGAGACAGACCTTAGGATAGTCATGTGCGCCATGTGCTGGGATCCTTTCAGCGTTGACCTCATCCTCTCGCCTTTCCTCGACTCACACTGCTGTAGCGCAGGGCAGCCAGGCCAGAGCAACACACTGATCCTAGACAAGATCATCGGGGACAGCAGGAGGAGGATCCAGGTCACTGTCCTGTCCTACCACACTGCTATTGGTGTCCGCAAAGATGAGCTGGTGCACGGCTACATTTTGGTATACTCTGCTAAACGCAAGGCTTCTATGGCGACCCTGCGGGCGTTCTTGGCTGAAGTCCAGGATGTGATCCCCGTCCAGATGGTGGCGATTACAGATAGCCAGGCAGACTTCTTTGAGAATGATGCCATCAAGGAGCTGATGACGGAGGGAGAGCACATTGCCACAGAGATCGCTGCCAAGTTCACTGCACTCTACTCACTGTCACAGTATCATCGACAGACAGAAGTTTTTACACCCTTTTTCAATGAAGTGCTGGAGAAAAAGCCTAACATTGAGAGTTCCTTCCTGTTTGACAGCTCATCACGGGAGTGCACCACTGGCGCCAGTGAGGACGTCTTCCCCACCTCACCCCACAGCCATTCCCCGGCGTATAACACTTATTACCCAGAATCGGATGATGATAATGAGGCTCCCCCACCTTACAGTCCAATAGGTGATGATGTTCAGCTTCTCCCCACACCCAGCGAGCGGGCCAAGTACCGCATCGACCTAGAGGGCAATGAGTACCCAGTCCATAGCACACCTGTTGGAGACCATGAACGCAATCACAAAGTGCCTCCACCTGTCCGGCCCAAACCAGTGCTCCCCAAACCAAATGTCAAAAAGCTGGACCCCAACCTGCTCAAAACTATTGAGGCTGGCATGCGAAGCAACCGTAGGATGCCACGTGGCCCAATGACGCACAGTGAGGATGTGGAGGCGTCAGAAAACTATGCAGACCCTGTGGACACCTTGCTAAGGTCCAGGGGTTTCCACAATGATGACATATATGCTGTGCCCGATGACACACATAGCCGTCTAGTCAAAATAAGAAATTCCTTCGGTGGGTTGCATGGCCTCCACGGAGGAGGAGAAGAGGAGAATGGGTTTGACAGAAAGTCTCAGGCTGGACGGCGGCCGTCAAAATACAAACATCGTTCTAAAATCCTGTTCAGCAAGACAAAGGCCTACCAAAGACGATTCCACTCTGACAGCGACGGGGAGGAGTCGGGCCCTGCTACGCAGAAAAAGAAAAAGGGAAGAGCCCACCGGGGCAGCGAGGAGGACCCGCTGCTCTCCCCTGCTGACCCCTGGAAGGGTGGCATAGATAACCCTGCCATCACCTCCGACCCTGAACAGGAGGACAAGAAGATGAAGAAGAAGAAGACGCCCAAGACACCAAAGGAGCCGAAGAAGGTGAGTCTGTGAATGTGACTTGTGCAGCATTTTAATGTCGGGTCAATTTCAGCGTCTGCTTTTAGAAAACAGGATAGTGCGAAAGTCCTTTTCATAGAGCAACAAAAGACAGACAGAAAGACAGTAAAGATATTATAGCCTCCAAGACACTGAGCCAAAGCTTTCTTGTCTTTTTTTTTTCCAAGTGACTGAAAGAGAGCTTCAGTGCCTTGAATACAAGAGAGTGAAAGAGTGTGTATGTGAATGAGAGCAGAAGAGATTGTGTACAGCAGTGTGTGAGCATAAGTGTGTGGGTGTGAGATATGAGCAGATTTCTGTTTTTAATAGGCCCGGGACTTGTGGTGGGAATAAACTAATTTGATAATTGATTGATCTGCCCCACCGCTGAAATGGTTTATGAGCCTCCCCACCTAGCAGGCCCCAGACAACCAATAAAAAGATTGATAAAAGGCACACTGTTAAAGACAGTAGGGCTCTGTGTGTATAATCTCGAAGCAGAGGCCGCATCTGTGATAAGATGCCTGCTTATCCTTTACACCAGCTCTCTAAAGGCTTGTCTGAGACAGCTGGGCACAGACATGAATATATAAGCAAGAGCATTTGATGCAGCCACTATCATCTCAGACAAATACTGTTTGCATACATGTGTGGCAATTAAGCTAGCACTCTCCTGTAAAAAAAAGATGTGCAAATGAAGAAAAATGTTGGCACTAATCACATAGCTGTTAAAAATGCAGTTAAAAGCACACATTAGCATACAGCGCATGCACACACCCCCACACATGCTCATGCACCAACTCCTAAAACATTACTTACATGTACATTCATGTTAGAGATTCATATATGAGATCTAAAATGGCAATGTGAGCTACCCCAGTCAGTGCTCAAAATGGATCCTTAATATTTTCCTCTCAGCCAGTTTTTATACCTTAAATTGAGCCTGGTGAAACTTGTATCATTTCAAATACTGCATATTTTAAGCAGCAACATCTGATTTTGATTAAAATGTTTGTAGTCACTTGAAAAATGTAATAACAACAAATCTGGCTGTTGGCAGTACTGCTGTTTAGCAATTGCAGCGTCAAGCAAAATAATCACAGCATGCACGATTTGTCAGTTTCCCGCAGCCCGAGCACAAATACACAATTGGACTTTGACAAACACACACGCGCACGCATGCGAGCGGGCATGCTGGCACGAATCAGATAATAGTGTGCAAATCAGTATAGAAACAGCCGCCGGCGCTACATGGGCGTCGTGAATGCGGGGCATTGTTGGAACATTCAAACTGTCTTTGATAATCAGAGAGGAGAGCGAGAGGAGAACCACAAGGTACAAAATGGAAGGTGTTTAGTCGCCGTCCCGGCCAATTAGAGAGGAGCCCGAACTGCTGTAGGCATGACAACACTTTGAAGAGCAGAGGAGTGTGGGAAATCAAAGCCACCTCAGCACCTCGTTACTCGTCCCAGCTTCGGTCTTGAATAACGGTTGTGTCTGTTGTTGTCTTCTTTCTTTTTTTGTCTTCCTCCACATGAACGTCCCTCTGCTACTTCCCCCTCTCTCCCTTCATCCCACTAACTTTCTGTCTGATCTATTCCCCGATTGCCCTCCTACTCCTCTTCTTCTCCGTCTCTATCTTCTGCCGTCTCATCACCATCTCTCCATTTCTGCTCTCCCTTGTGTGTTTTCCTCAATTCCCTCTTCTTTTTCATTCCTTTCTACTCACGCTCTTCCTTTTTTCTTTAAAACTTGTTTTTCCTTGACGTCCCCATGTCTCCCTTTATCTTTCTTCCCATCCCTTATTATCGTCCCTACCTACTCTTGTATGTTCTCTACTATACTATTTGACTTCTTTCCTCGTTTTTTTCCCTTAATCTTTGCTTTAAACCTGCAATTTCCTGTTTCTGTATATTGACTTCCCCTTTCCTTCTCGCCTATTTCCTCATTTTCTTCTCCCTTCTTTCCCTCTGCTTTTCTTTGTATACTCTTGTTCTTCTTTTCTCTACCTGTTCTCCAATCTCTCTTCCTCTTTTCCATCCCCCTTTCCCCTCCCATCCTTCCTCCTTTGTCATCTCCCTTTGTTCCTTCCTTTTCTTACCTCCTTTATAACATCTCTTACCAATCTTATACCCTCAATCATTCTTGCTCTTTCCGTCTTTCACTCCATTTGTCGTGGTTCTTATCATCTCATCCCTCTTGTTATTCTTTCGCTCCCCCCTTTATAGCCAAGATCTACAAAGCCCCCCAAGCCTCTGTACCCCCCCACCCGGAGAACCTGGGAGAGCAACTACTTTGGCGTTCCCCTGCAGAACTTGGTGACCCCGGACCGACCCATCCCACTCTTCATCGACAAATGTGTCGACTACATCGAGCGCACAGGTGAGTCATGCGTTTCCATCAGTTTCTCTCCCTGTCTTTGTCCTATCCCACTCTTCTCCTCTGTTGTTGTTTTTTATTTTCCTTTTATCTTTCTCGTTGTCTTCTGCCTGTGCGTTCAGGTGCAACCAGGCTCTCTCTGGTATTTTGTAACTCTTGCAAGGTACAGCTGGTTTGTTCTTACATGCAAAAGCTTTGTGGTTATTTGCTGTGAAAATGCCTCTCATGTCTTTCCAAATGAGTTATTGAGCAGGCGAAGGAGGGATAGAGAGATAGGAGAGGAAGAGGGGGGCATTTTAAGTAGGAGGGGGAAACACATGAATCTAAATTCTAAGAAGATTCACTTCCCGGCTCTGATATCATCCACACAACATGTTTTGTCTGGTCTGTCAGCCAGCCTGCCAGGCTGCCAGTCAATACAAGTCAATTTCAATTCAATGAGCTTTATTGGCACGGCATTTGATGTGTTGCCAAAGCACTGCTGGAATGATTACAAAATAAGATGGTAAAAGATTACCGAGATAAAAAAACTGATTAAGGAATAGCAGTGGAGAGATTTACACAAGTATGTGCCATCCATCAATCAGCCGTACTTAAGACAGGAGCAGAGAAATGAGATACCTGTAAGAACATGTAGGAAAAAGTTTAGTGCCTGATGAATCTCTGGGTTATTAGATAATTTTTGTGTTGTATATAACAGTAAAAATGCCAGATATTTGGTGGTTCCAGCCTCTACAATGTGAGGATTTGCAGCTTTACTTTGTTCTGTCTCATTTTAAATTTCATATTTGGGATTTTGGACTTATAATGGCATAAAACAAGCAATTTGAATGAATTTGGGCTCTAGAAAATTGTGATTGTGTTAGGTCAGTTTTTCAGTAATGGAAGCAGTTGTTTGGTGGAATCCTATCTAATAGTCTGAGCTGCCAGTTATACTGTTACTCCCTCCCATCAGCCAGCCTAAGGGTCAAAGGTTGTTCGCTCAAATCAAGTTCAAGGTCAAAGTTTTGAAAAACTCTGAACAAAACTTATAACTTTAGGGAAAACTTCAAGCACATCACTGCACTTTGGTTTGCATGAAAAGGATGTTGATAGTGAGTTGGAGATAGGGGTGTATGAGTACACAATTAATGCGTCAGTGTGTACCCCAGTTTGGGGGTCATGTTTTGGTAGGTTTTCAGTACAGCAGGGAAGACAAAAAAAGCAGAAAATATAAATTTATTCTGAAAAATGTTGACATTCAACCATGTCTCATCAGCCGTAATTCTTATTGTAAGAAATGAGGCATTTAAGCACTGGCATATTGCCAATAGGAAAAAAAAAAATACATTAAGCCCAGTTCAGACCAAAGATTTGCAACGAGGAAAGTTGTAGCAAAGTGAACTTGCCGGTCTGAGCTCGACTCAAGACAGCTGATGGTGTCACCTTCAACTCAGCTGGTCAAATCACTGGCGGCTGGTTTTAGAACGTAGCCGCAAAATAAAGCTGGAAATCAGAACTGAAGTACAGACTAACTGAACATCCTGTACTGAACGGTTTGCAACGAATACATGTACAGCTCCTTCCCTAGTTGGAAATGTCAATGAGAAACCACTTTTCTACTCTAGGGCCCTTGAGCAAGGCTCTCAGGCCCCGTCAGCTCCGTTTAAACTGCTCAATTAGCCAACTGCAGGAGTTGGTGGTTGTATCAGAGGAGCAGTTCTTATTCTGGATGAATAAATGTTTAAAATAGGAAGGACCCACAGCCTGTTTGGACATGTGTAGCTCCAACTGGTGACACAGTGCATTCTGGATATGTGTTGGCCTCCTGCCCAGCTGTTACATGGAAGACTTCCCCCGAAGTTTGAGAGATTCCTCAGTGAAGTCATGGATCAGTCCGATAGATATTTATACTTTGTGTGGTGGACACTTTATCCAGTGTCTGTGGCTGTTTATATTCTTCATGCATGACTGCAGTGAGATTCAAACCGTCAACCCAGCCTGTTTTGAATGCCTTGCTCCACACATTACAGCTTCCTCTCTGCCTATTAAAGACCCAAGCAGCTACCCAAACTGTTAGTTTTTTTCCCTCCGACCACTGAAATGAATATTTTAAACATATTTAATATTGTATGAGTTTGTTGCATAATGTATTTACACATGGTCCAGTACTCTTTTCCGTGTTTAGTGCCTTTGAATAAGCTCTAAGAAGCAAAAGTGTCTCTTGCTGAAAGACCTCAAAGTAACTTTTCCCCCAGTCAGATGCTCTAAAATATCTAATGACGTAATGTTTCCTGTTGGGTTTTTGCTGCTGCGTGTTTGTGTGTTCAGTGGGGGACAGTCTTGGCTCATGCACTTATCTTAAGTTTTTTTTATTGTTTGCTCAGTTCAGGATAGGCGCTGCTATTGTGAAAGTAAGAGAATGACTCTTCAAGGTATTTAGATGTTGTTTTGCAATCATACCCACTGTGGCTACCTGAATGTAGGAACCTCTCAGCTGTCCACATTAAAGTCCCTTCGCCACATGACTGAAAGCACGTCTCATTACTTTACTCTCCTCCGTCCTCCTCCATATGTGTAGCGAATGTATAGTATGTACGTTAAAAAGAGGTATTTCCTGTGCTCCTACCAGTAAGTGTTCGCCTCTGTTTTTGAAGGTAGCGTCTGAGCTCTTTTTCGTTCTGGGGCTGTTAATTCCCGTCCTGAAAATCCCCTCCGAATATGTTTTGATATTCAGCTGGATCTACATGAGCCCGTCGGTGGCTGCCAACCAAATTTAGGATTAATCCCAGCGCTGCATGTGTGTGGATGTGCGTGTGTGCGGACGCCTGCCAGCTGACAGTAGTGTATTGGAGATTTCATGGCTAGTGCTGTGAAACCCTCTAAGTCCAGACGGTCTGCTGGGTGGATTTAACAGCTTTTTCCCCTCTCCTTCTTTTTCTGGAATATCATTTCTCACCAGACACAGCGAGAACATCTTTGTGCTTTAAAAAAAAAAAAAAAAAAAAAAAAAAAAAAAAGGTAACCCAGCTGTTGTATAAGGTGCTTCTTATCCAGACAATTTAAGAGTTTTTACAACTTGATGAGACCTTTCAGGTTGTTTCTCTCTCAGGAAGTCAAGTTAAGCATTTAGATGGTCTTCATGTACAGACTGTTTGCCTTGGTAGGGGTTTAATCTGCCTGTATAACATATTTGAGTTTATAGCTCAGAGGGTGGGGTCGTCCTGTCAATGCAGAGTCGTAAGCGATTGTGGGTGTTGGCGTGATAGCTCAGTGGTTAGAAAGACCCTCCTTCAGTGGTAAAACTGAGTTCAAACCCTTCTGTCTGCAGAGAGCCACCCTGCTAATGTCTAAAGCTAAAATAAGAGACAGAATCTTTGCCAGCTCCAGTGCTGCTGCGCCAGTCGACCTCTGACCTCTGAGCAGTGTGGGAGGAAAGACACTGTCCCAATGGGAACCATTAAAACGTCATTACTATATTGTGTTGTTGTTTTTCCATCTCACTACAAACACTTGTCATTTAAATTGGAGGTGAAAGTCAAAATGTTAAAGCACTCCTCCCCTCTTTGGTGGCCCAGTTAGGAGAGTTTATATCTTTGGAAAAATACTTAAAGCAAAGGATTTGTTTTATGGTGTCACCTGCAGAAACTCAGACTTTATTAGTATGAGGAAAATAAAACCACCCCTGCTCTTTGACTGAGGGGTCAGTGTGATCTAGCAGAAAGTTTGGTCGACTGTTTTACTCTGCAAAGTTCTTGTACCGCTGCTTGTAGAGTGGGGCAGTGTATCGATAATACATTGATATTGTAATATGAGGCTGCATTACAGTAAAGGGATGTAATTTTCTGAACTTACCACACTGCTCTGCCTGTTGCAGTATTATATCCACATTAATGCTGATGATTTATCAAAAATCTCATTGTGTAATTATTTTGTGAAAGCACCAAAAGTTAACCAGGGTTGGGTACCAAACTTGGCACTTTTAAGGGTACCAACTGAATTACTCCCCAAATCCGGGAAGCCCACCATGGGGCTCAGCGGCCGCTCCATTGGCTTCCCAGCAAGCCAAAAGTATTGCTACAGCACCGATCCGCTTGGATAGTTTCCGGCGTCTGGTCTATTTTCTTTTCAGTATTATTTAGTAATAGCCTTGTAGCTCTGCTAAACAAGCAGAACCACATATAGACCTGTGCACACTTACACACACACACACACACACACAAGCCGACGGACAGACAGACAGATTAGCTCTATGTATGATTTAAAAGAGCAGAGGAGCAGAATTGCATGTTAGTCTACTATGTCAGCCCAGCAACTTGTCCAAAAATCTAATTTTTGTTACAGAGCAGGCAAAGTACTGAAAAAAGGTACCATTGGGTAAAGGCACCGAATTCCAGATACCAGTATCGGTTCAAATCTGAATGGTTCCCAATCCTATAATCAACCCTACAATATCGATATCAGTATATTTGGTCAAATACATGGTATTTGACTTTCTCCATATCGCCCAGCCTAGCTTCTTGTGTTAAGACAATATTTAACATTTGAGAGATTTGGTTTCTTTTATTACATAATAAAGGTGTCTCTTGAAAACTTTATCTTATATTTCCGAAAGTAACGTATCAAAAAAGCCTCATCATTGAGTATCTATACTGAAACTCAAGTATCAGCTCTAGGTGAAACTATTGATCATTTCATTCACCGATAGAAAATTAATGGACATTTTGATATTTTGATATATATGTGAAGCTGTATTGATCTCTGTTTTATTTTATTTTGAATTAAATATATCTTGGGTTTGGGCCTTGGTTGGACAAAACTAGCAACTGGGGACTTGTGTGATGGTAATTTATTTACCAGTTCTGGACACTTGATAGGCTAAATGATTAATTAATAAATCAAAGAAACAGGACAATTAACTTTTATTTTCATTATTAATGCTGCAGTAATGAGTCCTTAAATTTGTGCACCTCTGGTTCTCTCGTTCATGAAGTCAATGACTTTTTCAATGGTTAGATGGCTGA